TGTGAATTCATTAGGCTAGCCGTGACCCCTCTGAAGAACGTAAACAAGGCTCAGGCAGACTAGGCCCTTGTCTGCAGTCTGGCCAGGATGAAGGACTCTGGGCTGGGCTGGCCCTCTCTTCCACATGGTTTCTTGATTGGGAAACCAGTGAGGGGTTGCTGCAATAGTACAGGTAAGGAGGGCCTCCTGTAGGGCAGAGGGAATAGCAAGGGGCAGGCTGGGATCAACAGAATTTGCCAATTGTTAGCAGCAGCAAACTTGAGGTGAAGGTCCAGTTCCCCAGGCCTGCCAGGTCCCTGGAAGCTGTGCAGTGTCTTGAGGTCTGGACTCTATGTGACGTACAGTGATTCTGACCAGCCCCCTTTACCTCTTGAGGCCTTGGTCTATCTCTTGCAAGCTAAGCCCATGATTCCATGATATGAAGCCCTTTCTTGGCACAATGTCCCAGTTTTTCAGGGTCCTGCAGACAGCTGGTCTCCCTCCTTCTTTGTATGCCCTTCCCCCATGTACCCAGCCCCCTTGCTGTGCTGGGGCCTCCCATCCAGAGCTCTGCTACCCAGGAGGCGTTGCCAGGTGCTCCAGGCCCCCAAAGAATTCCCTTACTCCCCCTCCCCGTTGAAGAACCAGGGCTGATGCAACCTGCCTGCAATTGAATTGCCGCTTCACTCCAACCAAGCCAGGCCCCTCCGCACTGTAAAAGAGTTCCCCACAGCCCCACCCTTGCTCCTAAGCCCCAGAGAACTTTTCCAGGCTGGGGGAGGCTAAGGCATCTGGTCCTGGGTGGCAGGCAGCCACAGGTGACCCACCACTGCAAACCGGAGCATGTGGGGAAGGACTGGACAGCTGAGTAGTACCCACTCAGCATAACTGAATCAGGCTCAGATCCAACAGCTAAAGAAAGAAAAAGGGCACAAGGGGCCAAGAGAGGGGGACTGGAATCCTACACCAATGCCATCTCATGTAACATATGCAACATGCAGCCAGCAACAGGATTCTCCTGCCAAGCAAGTTCATGCCCAGTTATTACAAAATACTCTATTTCCTGGACACTGGTGGCTCAAGCCTGTACCCCAAGCTACTCAAGGCAGCAATCAGGAAGATCATGGTTCAAGACCAGACTAGGGAAATAGTTTATGAGACCATATCTTGAAAATGCCCAATGCCAAAAAGAGCTGGTAGAGTGGCTCAAGAGGCAGAGCACCTGTCTAGCAAGTATGGGGAGGTCCTGAGTTCAAACCAAAATACTACAAAAACAAAACAAAAACCTACCAGGCTGGCTGTAATGGTGCACACCTGGAATCCTAGAACTTGGTAGGTTGAGGCAAGAGGATTTAGACTTTGAGGCCAGCCTTGGCTACATAGCTGTCTAAAACCAATCAAATAAATTTAAAAAATCCAGGTCACCCTCTAAAAAATTCCTAATCCCAGTCTGAGATAAAATCAAACTGAAACATATTCAGAAAACACCCACTCAGCATTGTTAAAACTGTCAAAGCTGCTGGGATTCTGTGGCTCACATCTGTAATTCTAGCTACTTGAGAAGCTGCAATTGGGAGGATCTTGGTACAAGGCCATCCCGGACAAATAGTTCGAGACCCATCTCCAAAATAACCAGAGCAAAATGGACTGGAAGTGTGGCACAAGTGGTAGAGCACCTGCTTTGCAAGTACAAAAGGCCTGAGTTCAAATCCCAGTCCTACCAAAGTGTGTGTGGGGGGGACCCTGTCAAAAGTCACGAAAGACAAAGTGTCAGACATAATGCCTAAACGTAATGCGTTGTCATGGTTTGGATTCTGGAACAGAAAAAAAAAAAAGAAAGAAAGGACAACTAGTGAACTCAGAAGAGCATGGAAGTTAGTCAGCAGGAAGGTAGTGACACTGGTTCTTTAGCTGGGATAAATACGCCATAGTAATACAGGACATTAACAATGGGAAATACTGGGTGAGGGGCATACAGTAACTCTCTACAGTATTTTTGTCACTTTTCTATAAATCTGAAAGCTAAAATTACTCCAGGAAAAAAAAAACCAAAACCTTATGGGTTGAGAGTATAACTCAGTGGTAGGGCACCTTCAGAATGCTTGAGGCCCTGGGTTCAATCTACAGCAAGGGGTAGAGGGCTAAGTTGAGTGTGGTGGTGTGCACCTACAAGCTCAGCTACATGGGAGGGCGAGGTGGATCACTTGATGCCAACCTAGGCAGCATAGGGAGACTGTGACTCAAAAAGAACAGAGTAGAAAGGAGAAGTGGCTCACACCTATAATCCCAGCTACTTAAGAGGCAGAGATCCAAAGATCATGCTTTGAGGCCAGCTTGATCAAAAAGTTAGAGATCCCATCTCTCTAGCTGTTGTATCCCACTCAGATCAGATCTGCCCACCTGAGCCTGACTCAGTCATGCTGAATGGGTGCCAGTTTGCATTTAGCTGTCCAGCCCTTCCCAGCACATTCTGGTTTATGGTACAGGGACACCCATGGCTGTCATCACAGCTAAATAAGAGGTGTAGGTAGAAGAACTGAGGTCTGAGGCTGCTCCTGGGCAAAAACACACAGAAGACTCTACCTGGAGAAAAAAAAAAAAAAAAAAAAAGGACTGGGAGTGTGACTCAAGTGGTAGAGAACTTCCCTAGCAAGTGTGAGGCCCTGAGTTCAAACTGTAGTATGGCTAAAGCCAAACAGCTTTTCAGAGGCAGACTCTGGAGGGAGACTGTATCTGCTCATGACCAGCAGTGTTCCACAGTCTACCCCTGATCCTACCTGCTAGCCCTCAGGTCTCTTCCTCTACTGAGAGGTGGAAGGAAGCAGATCCTTAGGTTTTCCTTCAAAGGAAGACCAATCAGTCTTCATCTCACTGTTCAGCAATGGAGACAGAACATAGCCATGTCAGTAATAATCGTTTAACAACGCTTACATAGCATCTACTGTATGCCAGGTGCTAGCCCACGTGCTCAACACAGATTAACTCATTACAACAGCCCTTAGGGATAGGTATCCACTTTTTACTGCAGAGGAAACTAAAGCACAGGGAAGCAAGGGAAACTGCCAGGGCCACAGGGTAAATGGATGCTGTCAGGGTCTAAACCCAAAGAACCTGCCTCCAGAATCTGTGTTCTGTTCTGTATGCTGCCTATGTTATAACATAGCCCCTACTGGCCAAGGAGATAGGGACAAGGTGCTCGAACACCAGCAGACCAGACAGGAAGTGCTCTGAAGAAAGGTGGTAGTCTAAATGCTCATGGAGGGGCTCAAGTGGCAGAGCACCTGCCTAGCAAATGTGAGGCACTGAGTTCAACCCCTGCACTGCAAAAATAAATAAATAAATAAATAAATAAATAAATAAATAAATAAATGGTGGTCAGACCCCAAGGACTTCCTACCTGCAACAGGGAAGGAGGAGGGACTGGGTGTACCTCAAGCACCTGCCCTGAGTTCAGACTCTAGTACCACAAAAAAAAAAACCTTACACGGGGAAGGGGCGGGGGGATCAAGAAGCCTGTATGTGCATGGGATCAAGATCAGGGCACTCCACTCTGCCTTCTCTAACCTCACTCAGCCTCATTAACCGCCACAGAAGGTTGAACTTCAAGTAGGATGTCCTGGTGAGGACAGAAACAGGGTGGGAAAGGGAAAAGTTTCTGCAACAGAGGAAAGACACACCCACCCTGGCTTGTAGAGGGCCCAGTGTTCTGGGAGGAGCAGGGGGGCCAAAAAGTTCCCTCTCTTACCATACAGAACATAGATGTTCAATTTTGGCGGAGTTGGGAGACAATATTCAGTGGGAGCCACGTGTGGTGGTACACACCTGTAAGCTCAGCTACTCAGGAGGTGGAAGCCAGAGGATCTCAAACTCGAGGTCAGCCTAGGCAAAGTTAATGAGACCCTGTTTCAAAAACAGAAGAGTTAGGGGCATGGCTCAAGTGACAGAAGCTTTCCTGAGGCTGTGGATTCGATCCCAGCACTGAAAAAAAGGAAAAAATTCAGTGTGGGCAGTTGAGTCAAAGACTGAAAGAAGTCAGAGCAACAGGCAGGAGGAAAACAGCAAACCATCTGGCCATACAAGGACTGAGGGAAGCTGGGCAAGGGCTAGAGAAAGTACATAGTGAAAAGTGAATCCCTGAATTGGGGGCAGGGGGAGAAGTGGGGATGACTGGAAAACCTTGGGGAAAAGAGGGAAGCACAAGAATGACCTAACTGAGCCAGGCACTGGTAGCTCACACCTGTAGTCCTAGCTCTTCAGGAGGCAGAGATCAAGAGAAGCACGGTTCAAAGCCAGTCCTAGGCAAATAGTTCTGGAGACCTTATCTCAAAAATACCCAACATAAAACTGGCAAAGTGGCTCAAGTAGTAGAGCATCAGCCTAACACAAGTGTGAGGTTCCGAGTTCAAACCCCAGTACTACCAAAAAAAAAAAAAAAAAAATAGACCTATCTGCAGGTATTGGAGGGCCAGTGTCTGGAGTTCTTGTTAAGGATGAACAGGTGAGGCCAGGCCCCATGATGAGCAAGGACACAGGAGAAGGGCTCTGTGCTTAGGATTTAAGAGGCTTAATTTGATTTTCACATATAATCCCACCAGGTAGAGTATGGGGTTTTTTTGTGTGTTCGGTTTTTTAACTTTTTATTTCTAAAGTATGTATCCCAGGCATGCTTGGAACTCGTTATGTGTAGGTAGCCCAAGGTGGCCTTGAACTCCCGATCTTCCTTCCTCCGGAGAGCTGGGATTACAGTCGTGCCCCACCATACACAGAATGTCCTCTTCATTTTAACGCTAGGGAAATGAGGCCAAAAAAAAACTCAAGTATCTGTCCCAGGCCAACAGGCAGTTCTGTGATTTGAGTGCCGCACGGTCTGTGACGCACGCGGGCTCTGGGGCTGCGTGGTCGGTTGGGGAGGGGCGAAGATAAAAAGATTAAAGTGTGGCTTGGCAGGAAACTCAAGAAGCAGAGAAAGTCAAAGAGAAATGAAGGGTTGCGAGTTAGAGGAACAAGGATGGGGTTCGGGTCCACAAATTAAAGAGAGGGCAGAGGGCCCGGACTGCGGAATCAGAGACAGGGAACACGGTCCCAGAGTCAGAGGGGGACCAGGAGCGAACCTCAGGGGTCGTGAGGAGAGTTGGGGACCAGCTGACCGGGAGAGGAGGTGCCGAGGCGCCTCCGGGTTGGAGCCACGCGGAGGCGGGGCGGGGCGCGGAAGGATCCAGGCGGGCCGTGCTGCGTCGCCCCCGGTATATCTGTCCCCAGTCTCCGGGGCCTCCTCATTCCCTGTCCTCAGCTCACAACTTGTCCTCAGGCTCCCGCGACGCCGCCTCCGCCCGCGTTAAGCCCCACCATGGCTCTGTAGCCGCAACCCCTTTTGTATCCCCGTCCTGTATCCGCGCTTACCGCGCCTGCGCTCTCCGCTCCCACCGTCTTTCTTCAGCCGAGGCCGCCGATGCCTCTCTTTTCCGCAGCCATGGAGTGAGTAACCGCTCGCCCCTCCTTCTCCAACCGCCTTTCCCGCCCTTTCGCAGCTCGCGGTCCTCACAGCCGGGTCTGGTGGGGGGTAGGGTGAGGAAACGAGAGCCGGTAATCACGGTCGCGCAGGCGCAGAAGAGGAAAAAGGGGGCCGTTGGCGCGCAGCTGAGCATGCGCACTTGGCCCGAGGTGGGGGAGGGGAGGTCCTACAGAGAATGGTAGGTTGACCTGCGTGCGGTGCGCCTGCGCATCAATCCCAGAGCGGTTTTTTTTTTTTTTTTTTTTTTTTTGCGCACGCGCTATAGTTCACCCGGGCCCGGGCCTAGGTATGAAGGGCGGGCAGTAAACGGCCGCACATGCGTACTGATTCCCAGGAGGGTGGCGGCTTAGAACAATGGGCCGCTCCAATATCGGAGCAGGCGTTTTAACGCTCAGTGAGAGAGCCGCGCGCAAGAGTGGGCGTTGGGGAGGCGTTCTCCGCGTGCTCTCTCCTCTCTCCATGCTACATATGCCTCTGACTTACTGCACCGATTCCCTTCCTTTCAATCAGGCACCTGCTGGGGCGGAGAGTGGCTTAGATTGACAGGGAAGGACGGTGCTATTAAGACGGGGGTGGAGCTAGGACCTTTAGCCATAGCAACGATTGGGGGTTGGAGGAGCCCTTTGTGTGGAGGGGCGGGGCTCAGCCAGCCGTTAGGTGAGGGGTCGATTGGACAAAGAGGCGGAGCCAAAAGGCAAGGGGCGGGGCTAAAGAGGGAGAGGCGGGGCTTACAGAGATAGTTACTATACAGTCCTCCCCACCATATACCGTGAACTTTCAAAGGGAAGGGCAAAATTTGAGTGGATGACATTGATGAAGTGTCCGGGCCTGGGGAAATTCCCCTGGGAACTGACTTGGAATGGCATCTAAGAAAGGAATGGTGCCTAAAGGAAAGATTTTAGGGGAAGGGGCGTGGCTGGAAGGAAATTCTCCTGGGATTGGAACTTGTTTATGAAGGGGAATATGACTAGATGGGAGGGAGGTACGTAAGGGAATTCCCCTGGGAAGCCATTAGGTTTCTGTATTGGGAAAAGGTGGGGCTTGGAGTTTCTAAAAATAAAAGAATTCCTTAGTGAGTGTGTAGGGCTCAGAAATTTGGGGAAAGAAGGGCAGATTTAGAATTCTGAGAAGGCGGAGATTTGGTCTTGACACATGATTGGAGGGAGTGGGAGGACCTCCCCCAGGGATTCTGAGGCTGACCTCTGACCCCTACCACTCCTGTCTCACCCGTGCAGGTCCTCCACTTTCACACTGGTGCCTGTCTTCACCCAGCTGAGCAATATCCAGAGCCACCTTCCAGCTGTTGGTGCAGCCTCCATTGTCATCAGTGCTCAGCACCTGTGCCACAGCCATGTCACTCCTGGCGACCCTGGGGCTGGAGCTGGACAGGGCCCTGCTCCCAGCTAGCGGGCTGGGCTGGCTCGTAGACTATGGAAAACTCCCCCTGGCCCCTGCCCCCCTGCCTCCCTATGAGGTCCTTGGGGGAGCCCTGGAGGGCGGGCTTCCAGGGGGGGGAGAGCCCTTGGCAGGTAAGGGCAGATGGAGAATGGAGGTGGGGTAATTTACGGGTTGGAGTACAGGGGAAAGGAAAAATTATTTCATTCATTTGATAAATATTTGAGTGCCTACAGTGTGCCAGGCACTGTCTCAGGTGCTAGGAATACAGCTGGGTACAAGATTAAGCTGATCCCTGACCCCCAACTCACAATGTAGTGAGGAGACAGACAAGAGACAAAAGAGGACATATTGGGACAGGTGGAAAGCAATTAGCACTGAGCTAAGAAAAGACAAAGGGAGCCAGGCATAGTGATACGTATCTATAATCCCAGCTACTCAGGAGGCAGAGATCAGGAGGATTGTGGTTCAAAGCCAGCCCAAGCAAAATAGTTCTGGAGCCCCAATCTCAAAAAAACTCTTCCCAAAAAAGAGCTAGTGGAGTGGCTCAAGGTGTAAGCTCTGAGTTCAAACCCCAGTATTCCAAAAATAAATAAGTAAGCTGGGCATGGTGCTTCACACTTGTAATTCCAGCACTCAGGAGGTGAAGGCCTGAGGATCACAAGGTCCTGGCCATCCAGGCTACGTAGTGAAAACCTGTCTCAAAAAAAAAAAAAAAATAACAAGGCTGGCAGAGTGGTTCAAGCATTAAGAGTGCCTGCCTAGCAAGCATGAGACCCTGAGTTCAAACCCCAGTACTGCCAAAAAAATGAATAAAATACAAAACTGGGGAGAGGCTCAAGTGATAAGTGTTTGTCTAGCAAGTGAAAGGCCCTGAGTTCAAACCCTACTACCACCAAAAAAAAAAAAAATAGTGAATCAGAGAAACCACAAATAATAGGGAACTCAGTAAAGATGGTGTTGGAATGGTTAAGGAAATGGCTGGCACACTGTTTTGTTGAGTCTTTGGTTGAGTGAGTGTTTCTTTCCTTAACTGATTTGTTGGCTATTTGGTCAACTGAGTGAGTCATTGGTTAATGGGTTGATTGGTTGGTTGAATGGTTCATTGATTGGTTGGTTGGTTGGCTGGTTGATTGGTTGGGTGGCTCATTGGTTTGTTTACTAGTTTATTAGTTTGTTGATTCACTGATTGGTCAATTGACTGACTGGCAAGTCGTCTACACTGAACACAACAAATGAGCCCAGGTGAGGCAGACATGAGTGAGGATCAGGAATTCAGGGAACTTTGTGTCCTCTTTCCAATCTCCAGGTGATGGCTTCTCTGACTGGATGACTGAAAGAGTAGACTTCACAGCCCTCCTCCCTCTGGAACCCCCCCTTCCTCCAGGTGCCCTCCCTCCTCCTTCCCCAGCCCCCCCTGACCTGGAAGCCATGGCCTCCCTGCTCAAGAAGGAGCTAGAACAGATGGAAGACTTCTTCCTTGATGCCCCACTCCTCCCACCACCCTCCCCACCACCACCCGCACCACCTGCCCCCTCACTCCCCATTCCCCTCCCCACCTTTGACCTCCCCCAGCCCCCTGCCCTGGATACCCTCGACCTGCTAGCCATCTACTGTCGCAGTGAGGCCGGGCAGGGGGATGCAAGCTTGGCATCCCTGCCTGGCCCCCAGCATCCTCCTCCTCCCCCTCTTCCCCCTCAGCCCTGTCGCCCAGCCCCCTACCCCAACCCTGCCACCACCCGAGGGGACCGAAAGCAGAAGAAGAGAGACCAAAACAAATCAGCAGCTCTGAGGTACCGCCAGAGGAAGCGGGCAGAGGGCGAGGCCCTGGAGGGCGAGTGCCAGGGGCTGGAGGCGAGGAACCGGGAGCTGAGGGAAAGGGCCGAGTCAGTGGAACGGGAGATCCAGTATGTAAAGGACCTGCTCATCGAGGTGTACAAGGCCCGCAGCCAGAGGCCCCGCAGCAGCTAGAGGCGGGCCGGGGTCCTAGGACAGGTGTCCCTCCTCCCTGGTCTGCAACTGCAGTCCACCTCTCTTCTGTCATTTTACCCTCATCTCTCTTGTTCACGTCTGGATTTTTCCAGAATTGTGGATGTTCGGCCTTGGTCAACAGCTGTACCCCTCCAGTACAGCCAAGGAACCCTGGCCCTTAGAGTGGGCAGCTGAAGGCTCTGGGCTCTGCATTCTTTTTTTTCTTGCGGTGCTGGGGTTAGAATCCAGTGCCTTGCCCATGCTAGGCAAGTGGCTGGCCACTGAGCTGCACCCCCAAGTCAGTGGACCTGGGTGGTAGGGTGGAGCAGCCACAGGGCAGAGCAGGGAAGTGGGGCCAGGAAGCCATGCAAGGTGGCCATGCAATTGAGAACCTACATTGGGGAGGGTTTTAAGAAGGGGACCCATGTGACACAGTGAGAAAGCAAGCCAACTGTACCTGGGGAGGGAGCCGATGGGGGAGGAAGGGGTGCTGTAGCTGGTGTTAGCTGGGGAAGATAATCAGTGTTTTGTGAAGGTGTTGGGAGAGGGACTTCATCTAGGTGAAGGGGGTGCTGATCTTTTGGGGGTGGTTGTGAGCAAAAATAAAGTGCAGAATTTCCTCTGGCCTGTGCATCTTTGTCTTTGAGAGAAGTTGAAGAGAGGGAGTCTTCGGACTCACAGTCACAAAGATAACCAATGACTCTTGTTCATTATCAAGTCTGTGCACATGGTGAGGCCCGGGCAAGATGTGACTAATTCCACAGGGAAAGATCCAAGAGCCACTGTGAGATTCAGGCCAGACAGCAGAAGAAAGACTTAAACCAAAGGTGCCACACACCAGAAAGACACCAAGCCGGAGGGGCTGGGCAGCTACAATAAGAGTCAAGGAGTGCCAGCTGCTAAGGTGCCCTTTGTCTCCTCCCATCTTCACATTCTGGGGCATCATCTTTTCCTTCATTATCTTCCACTTGTTGCTGAGCAGAGCAAGATTTACAAGAGAAAGAAAAAATACTCTTTTTTTTGTGGTATTGGGATTTGAACTCAGGGCCTTGTGCTTGCTAGACAGGCACTCTACCACTTGCACCGCCCCACCAGCTTGAAAATACATTTGTGAGATGCCATGGTCATTGGCAACCTGGGTACTGGTAGCTGGGGGATAGGGGTCCTTGGGTTTAAATTTCATTTGAAGTATCCCTGAGTGAGATGTTGGCTCTATAGTGGCAGCAAACAGAAATGTCAAGGCCCAAGTTCAAGTTTGCAGTCAAGGACTTCAAGACAAAGTGTTTTCAATACTTGCTTCCTGGTCAGGTTCCAGCTCTCCCTGGGAACTTTGGCCTGAGAAGTCTTTGGCAATTGTTCAGAAATCTTTGTTCTTAGCTGGGTACCTGTGGTCACACCTGTAATCCTGTATACTCAGGAGGCAGAGATCAGGAGAATTGGGGTTCAAAGCCAGCCTGTGCAAATAACTTCTTGAGACCCTATTGAAAAAAACCCTTCACAATGAAAGGAGTGCTGGAGTGGTTCATGTTGTAGAACACCTGTCTAGCAAGTGCAAGACTGAGTTCAAACCCCAGTGCCAACAAAAAGAAATAGAAAAGAAATCCTTGGTCTTGCTGTGCAGATATTCTCTGACACCTGTATGTATATATAATAAGTAGGATTTGTTTGAATAACCTAGAATAGCCCCACCTTTTTTTTTTTTTTTTTTTTTGAGGTACTGGAGTTTAACCTCAAACAAGCATTCTACCACTTGAGCCACTCCTCCAGCCCCCCTTCGTTTGGTGCTGGGGATGGAACACAGGGCCTTGTGTGTGCTAGGCTTGTACTCTACCACTGGCAACCCAGACCTGCTAGGCAGTGCAAATCTGGTCAGAGATCACACTTTCTACATCACAATTTTTCCTTATCGGGTTTAAAAAAAAAAGTGATTCGGTGGGGACCTGTTAAGAATCTGGAAGTCAAAGTAAAGGATTCCGACTACTATTTTTTAAAAAATAGGAATTGGGGACTGGCTTGTGACTCAAGCGGTAGGGCACCTACTTTGCAAGTGTGAAGTCCTGAGTTCAAACTCCAATCTCACCAAAAAAAAAAAAAAGTTTGGAAGCGTCCCACACTGTTTTCTGACCCCTATGCGTGAGTCACAGGCCGCCACCCCTTTTCCGGGCGACTCCACCCGCGCCCCAATCCAGTGTCCCTGGGCTCCGGGGCGCTGCCGTGGCTGGACTCCGCCGCCAGGGGGCGATCGCCCGCTGTGGTTTCGCCCGCACACTCGGGTCCCCTGCGGGTGGCTTCCTCCAGGCCTCGCAACGCCCCAGGACCCCGTGCACTGAGGCTGGAAACCCTGAGCTCAAATAGGGTTCCCAGAGCAGAGCTGCAGAGTGCCCAGGCGACCAAATGGCATGTGACCCCTAACACACCCATCCGTCCATCCCTCTGTCCTACAATGTCCACTGAATGCCCAACCCCAGCCCTCACCCCGCCCGAGCTCGCGTCCCAGTGCGCAGGACGCACGGAACCCAAAGGCGCCACCCGGACAGCACAGGAAGCCTAGGCCTGGGATCTAAGGGCCAAGCTTCGGTGCCCGTGGTCAGCAGGGCCACAGCTGGCTGTGTGACCTCGAGCGGCCTGCTTAGCCTCGCTGTGCCTCAGGTTCCTCTGCTGGTCAGGGGAAAAATAGCACCCACTGTAGGCTTGGGAGGTCTGCCTGTGTTGTCAGTGCTCAGTGTGAAACCCGGCTGCAGAGATCACCAGGGTCGGTGTAAGGCTGGGACCAGAGGGAGGCCCTGTGACTGGGTGGGGAGAGTAGCTAGAGGAGTAAATGAGTCACTTTTATTTTTCTTTTCCAGTACTGAGCATGGAACCCACAGCTTTGCGTATGTTAGACATGCTCTTTGGGAGGAGAGGGGCTGTTTTCTGTAGCAGACTGTGAGTTAACCCCAGACCCTGTCCAGAAGCGAAGCTGAAACTGTCCCTGCCACACTGGCACCTTCCCTGGTCTCCTGCTAATCAGATGACTTCTACATATGCTCAGTGTCCAAGGCAGACGCCTCAGGATCTTGTCAATGCCGGACTTCCTCACCCTGCTCCTCCAGGCAATTGCCAAATGTGGTCTCAACGCCATCCTCTGAGTTTCCTGTTCCAGAGTGATTGCACACCAGGAAGTCTGGGAAGCAAGCACACCAGGTGGGAAGTCCATGCCATGCTGCCCCTCTCCTGCCCCTGGATTGGGCAGGTTTTGGGGTTCACAGTCTACAAGGCTGGCTAATTAGAAAGGGGCCAGCTTAGCAGGGGGCTTTGGGAACAAAGAAGTTTAAAAGTTCAGGGAAGCAATAGTTGTTTTAGGTTATCAGCTCCAGAACCAGGACATCCAGCAGAATTCTTTTTTTGTTTGTTTGTTTGCTCGCTCCAGCCCAGCTGAGGATAACAACCCTTTGTTCTTAATAAAAACTTTGATCAGAGTAAGAAGAGTCCATGAAACAAGCTTATGGGCTTTTGGGAAGTGAGTTAGTAAGGCAGTTATTACTGACTAAATTCTGTAACAGAAAAGACCTGACCTAAGCTGATTCTTACACAGAGAAAGCTGACTGTGTGGTCCCTTGTCTCAGTCACCCACTGGCAGTGAGCTCCATGGGGTCTCATCTATCTGTGTCATCTTCCTTTTCCTGTCCCTGCTCAAGGCAGAGACTCGGTGTTTTCCATCTTCTCCTTGGCATCTCCTGTACCCCAAGGACCTTGTTCTGATTTAGGGTCTGAAGGTGGATCGTTCCCCGCTAGGGATTGGGGTAGACACAGATGAAGACTTGATTACTTACACACCATGGGCAAAGACCATACACACACACACACACACACACACACACACACACACAGCCTGTAGAGAACAGAGGGACACATGGGTCACACCATTATTGGGGTCCAGGGCATTATTCAGTTTCCTACAGGAACTTTTTGTTTTTGTCTTCGCCCTACTAGGGATGGTTCCAGGGCCTCACACATGCTAGCAAGCACTCCTACCACTTGAACCACACCCCCAGTCCTTTGGGGTGTGTGTGTGTGTGTGTGTGTGTGTGTGTGTGTGTTCTGAGACAGGGCTTTGCTGCTGTCTTTGCCTGGGCTGGCCTCAAACTCAAGACTTCCAAAAGTTGGGATTACAGGTGTGTACCACCACCCCCAGTTCTATAGAGAATTTTAACTGGTGGGTTTAAAGCAGACAGGTACAAATTACAGGAGGTCACACAGTGACTGAGATGTGGTCAGTGTGGCCAGTCTGCACAGTCCATTCACGGTCTGGGGTCAGGTCATAGACAGCTGTCCCACAGGGAGGTGGTGACCAGGTATGAGGCAAGAACTGGAAGAGGTGGAGAACTAGAAAGTTGGTCAGGGATGTAGAGCCCTGCTTCAGACATGATGGGAGAGCCCACAATATTCAACATGGATGCTGAGGCCATCTGAAGTGACAGGAATTTACCACAAATGAAGATTTTTTTGGGGGGTGTTGGGGTTTGAACTCAGGACCTACACCTTGAGCCACTCGCCAGCCCTATTTTTGTGATGGGTTTTTCGAGATAGGGTCTCATGAACTATTTGCCTGGGCTGGCTTCGAACTGCGATCTTCCTGATCTCTGCCTCCTGAGTAGCTAGGATTACAGGCGTGAGCCATGGTGCCTGGCCTTTTTGCCTGTCTTTTTTTTTTTTTTTTTTTTTTTTTTGTAGTACTGGGGTTTGAACTCAGGGCCTACACATTGAGCCAATCCACCACCCCTATCTTGTGAATTGTACTTTCGAGATAGGGTCTCACAAACTATTTGCTGGAACTGGCTTTGAACCATGATCTTCCTGATTTCTGCTCCTGAGTAGCTAGGATTACAGGCATGAGCCACTGGCGCTCAGCTACAAATGGAGATTTTTAAATCTTGAAATCTAACACCTCTTTTCAGGAGCTGCCACTTCAGGCCCAATTTCCATCATATGACAGAGAAAAATGAGAAAGAGAGAGAGAGACAGAGACAGACAGACAGAGAGAAATCCTATCACAAAAAATTGGGCTAGTGGAGTGGCTTGAAAGCATAGACCCTGAGTTCAAACCCCAGTACTGCAAATAAATAAATGAGTTATAATAAAAAAAAAAGATGCTGTGTGTTATGGCTTGGATATGAAGTGTGCTGAAGGCTTGGTCCCGGACTGGTGGCACTATTGATAAGTGATTGGATCAACTGACACTAATGTCATCAGTAGATTAATCCATGGATGAGTTCATGGCTGAATGGGACATTAGGTGTGCCTTTGAAGGGCATATCTTGTCTTTGGCATCTCTCTCTCTCTCACTCATTTGCCTCTGCCCTGAGTTCAAAACCAAGTACCACCAAAGAGAAAAAAATAAAACCAAAACAACAACAATCTCCCTACTTGAAACTTGAAATTTGTTTGGGTAACACCCTGGGCCACAAGAGAGACCTCATCCCACGGGTCCTCTTCTCTCTCTCCACATGCTCTCTGACTTCCTATCTATGAAATCTTATGTTACTCTTTTTTTTTTTTTAACCCTTTGGGATGGGGTTTGAACTTGAGACTTCCCTCTTGCAAAGCAGGCACTCTACCAGTCCATTTTGCTCTGGTTATTTTGGAGATGAGGTTTTGTGAACTGTTTCCCTGGGCTGGCCTCCAACCTCGATCCTCCTGACCTCAGCCTCCCAAGTAGCTAGGATTGCAGGCGTGGGTCAGGTGCCTGGCAAATTCTTCTCCTTTTGATCCTGAGTTTCCCTTAGGCCAAGTGTCCTGTAGCAATTGGGTTTGGTAATCCACGGTGGTTTCAAACTCTGCAGAACAAACCGCTTTACACAATGTACCCCCACCCTGCACAAAAATTAAATTAAATAAAAAAAAATAAAACCACCATCCTTGATTAGAAACATCTGGAGAAGGCCGGGGCTGGTCCAGGTAAAATCCCTCCTAGGTGAGGCTGCAGAGGGTTTGTTTGCAGATACGACTCAGGGGGAAGTTAGTGAGGAAAATGTGTGGCTTTTGGTGATGCTATGACTTTGGGGGGATGTTTGGGAGGGGAGTTGACAATGTTGAAGTCCAGCAGGTGTGACTCTGTGCAAGGCGCTGTCGGCCCTCTTTCCCCTCCTCTTCTTCTTCCTCTTTTTCCTCTTCCTCTTCTTCTGCTCCTATCCTGGAGCAGGATGGAACCCAGGGGTGGAAACACTGGGCAAGAGCTCTACCCCTGAGCCACACCCCCAACCTTTCATTTGTATATTTGTTTTCTGGTGATACTAGATTTTGAACTCAAGGCCTCTCTCTTGCAGGGCAAGAGAGATCATAGGGTGGGAAGACCATGTGGAACTCGTTCCAACCAGGAAGGAGCCATTCTGGGCCAGCATCAGGGTGAGGCAGACCTGGGAGTGGGGTTGTCAGGGAACACAGGTGAGGGGTGACCACAGGTGAGGCGATGGGGACTCCATTCATTCATTCACTCACTCATTCCCCTCCTTTCCTTCATTCATTCACCGGTTCATTCATTCACTCACTCATTCATTCATTCACTCATTCCCTCCTTCATTCACTCCCTCCTTTCTTCCTTCCTTCATTCTCTCATTCATTCTTTCATTCACTCGTTCCCTCCTTCATTCACTCACTCATTCCCTCATTAATTCACTCACTCTCTCCATTCATTCCCTCCTT